GTGTCACTGAGCGTAGCTCCTCTGGGGTCCCTGGGCATATGTTCAGGATTTGCAGAGCTCCATGGGGTCAGGGAGAAGACCTAGGATGCTGGCTTTTGAGAGGGATGAACTCTCCAGAGCAAGGTCTTTGTAGCAGAGGGCATCAACATCCATCCTCAGTCCACCTTGTCTTCATAGAGGTCTCCAAACTCAACCTCTGTGTGGTCAGACCTGCAGGGTGACATCTGGGCGGGAAGGAGAACATCCCTGGTTTGCTTGGATGAGCTTTAGGAGATGGTGGAGGGTTTCCATCTCATGGCGCCGAGGCTGGGGTGCCCAGCTGCTAAGGAGTGCAGTTGGAGGCTGGTCTTTCCAGAGTTATTGGTCCCAGCCTTTTGCCCTGGGGTGCAGGTGATGTTTTGGACAGCTCCAGCTGTGCCTGGAAGGGCCACGATAGTTTTCCTGAACTTCTGGAAGTTAGTGCTCCTCTCGCTTGGACTTTGAGCAGTAAAGCCCTCCATGATATGACCAAAAGCTGGGTGGGTGAGGTGCTTTGTGTAGGGGCATGATGGCCACCAGGAAGAAAGGTCCATCTGCACACATAGGGTAGTAGAAGTGCCACAGAGTCTCCAGACTCAGCTGGGACAGGGTGACAGCAAGAGCTTTGGGGGCTGTACATTGCCCCTGGTCACCGTGACCTGTGTGGAACCTGTGAGTGCCAGAAAGGCTGAAGCAGCACCATGGAGACCATAGCTGGTGGGTAGCCACCACCTGCCAGCAGTGGGGTGGTGCTTGAAATGTTGTAACGGGTGCCCATGAGTGTTAATTATCTTAATTGTGTTTGTATTCTCCCAGGAAGGAATCGCTCTGTAGCTGGTATGTATAAAACTCTTCTTAGGTTGTAAGGAAATTACTTCAATTGAGATTTTTTTTTTTGGCTATAAATCTTTGGGAAAAAAAAAAAAAAAAGAGGAAATCACTATAACTAGACACAACCACGGTCTGTTTGTGATTCAGCTGGTTACAGAGCAGCGTGACACAGCCCGTGTTCTACCGACCGGTCTCCACAAAAATCCCACCCCTGTGATTCTGTGATTACCTTCACTGATTTATTGTTTTAACTCTGCATCTTGCGTTCGGAAATGGAGCGTAGAGATCCTGAGCTCAGCATCGTTCGTGGGTCTCATGATTCAGCTTTCTCCAAGCTGACTTTATTGACTGATCACTGGTTAATATGTTTTCAATGTCTGAAGTTGATACTGATTGGTTCCCGTGTGGCTATAGTCATGATTATTCATGAAGGTGCTTGGAAATTGCTGTCTGGCAAATTAATGTCATGAATTAAAAGTAAATGCAAAATTCTTACTAGAGATTTAAAAAAAAATCCACATCCTAGTCAAAATCCTCAAATTAAGATTGTCAAGTGTCCAAAATTATTTCGATCAGATCAGAACAAATTGAATTGGTGATTTGTTCATTCTTGTTTGTGAATGGAAGCCCATGGGAGAGGCTGATTCTTCTCTGGATCCTGGGATATCCAAGGAGAAATGGGAGGACCTGAGTGGAGGACTGGGAAACTGGGGGAGTAGGGGTAAACCAAACATGACTTCAGGGTATTTAGGGACAACACAGAAATGAGAAACTACACCTGCAAATGAAAACTCATTGTATGCACACAGAAAACAGATTTTAAAAGGACTCTGCAGAAGTAGAAAGCAGAATATAAGGATATGCAGAAAAAAATCCAAAGAAACAAAACAAAGTATGACGGTGTTTTCCCTGTTGGAAGAAGCAATTCAGGAGGTGTGCAGGGAATGAGATGCCCCAGGGAACACCAAGCTGGAGCTGTCTTAATAGAGGCTGTTCTCCTTGTGGAGGAGGTAGGGGTTACACCCACGGTTGTTTTTTCCAAGTATGTTTACGTTTTCCAGAGAGACTGTACAACAAGCTAACTGGAAAAGGACCAGTCTTTCCAGGGAGTTCAGAAAGTCATGAAATGTTCCAGGTGTCTGAGCCATCTCTGGCCCAAAGATCAGGAGCTTTCTTATTCCGCTGAAGTCGCTACTTATGAAAAATGCGGAAAAAAACAGGGTAGTGAATAAACTTACGTGACTGCTGGTGAATCCCCGAGCTAGTCCTGGAAAATTTGGCTCTCCAAAGGGAGAGCGTGCCTCTGAAAACCTCCGTTTGGTCGGTGCCCGGGACCGGTGCGGGAGGCTGGAGGCCGTTAACCTCCCGCCCGTCTCTTGCCAGATGGTGTGGTGAACCTGAGCGTGCCCATCGTGCTGCCCATCTCCACGGAGGACAAGGAGCGGCTGGCGGGCTGCGAGGCGCTGGCGCTCAGCTACGCGGGGCGGAAGGTGGCCGTCCTCAGGAACCCCGAGTACTTCGAGCACAGGAAGGAGGAACGCTGCGCCCGCGTCTGGGGCACCACCTGCCCCAAGCACCCCCACATCAAAGTAGGTTTGTCCTCAGCTGCTCTGGGAAGCCCGGCTGAGATGGGAAATGAGGCCAGGGGCTGGAGACCCGAACCGTTCCGAGGTTTTGAGGGGCTTGGGTGTCCTGTCTGCTCTCCAAGCCCAGCTCCTTGCTGGGAAACATCGCGTCCCGAGCAGGCAGGACTGAATTTTCAGGCTCAGGAGCTCATGCTGTGCTTGCTGCTTAACGGGCGCTGGAGAACAAGCAGGAGGTGAAGGGGAGTGCAGGCGTGCTGCTGAGGACCTGCTCCGTTCCTCCACAGCTCCACCAGTGTGCCTGCTTCCAGGCGTCTGCAGCACAACCACCAGCTCAGCCCCCAAAGTTCTCCCATGCTTGGGGTTTGATGGTCTCGGCAGTGCTGCCAGACACTAATGCTGCAGGTCGCTGACTCGGGGTCCTTTTAGATACATTTTACTCCTCCCTTCGTCTGTTCTGTACAGCAAGCCACCAAGGGCATGACATTTTTACAGCTTCCCTCTTCCTACGTACTCTCTGGCTGTACAAAGAACATTTCCTTTTGAAAGGGAGAGCTCCAGGTGACACCAAATGACTTGAGCTGTCTGCTTAAAAAGGCTAAAGCTGTGTTAATTCTTTTCCCCTCTCTTAAAATACCTCTTTTAATTGTTTAGCAGCAGTTACTCACCTTGTGATAGTCTTACGTATTCCCAGGAGGAAAGAGCAAAGAGTGAGGTGAAGGAAGGGCTGGTGCCATAACCTCTGGCTGTCAGAGAGGTCCCCCATGGCAGGGACTTGGTGGTGATGCTTCGCTTTAGGGGGTTGTGTTGCTCGTGACATTCAGTTGACGTGGTCACCGTGCTGAATAAGAAGAGATTGCCCTACAAGTGGAGCCAAGCCTAAGGAGGCTGGGAAAGGGAAGAGGAGACATTTTGCTGTCCCCTCTGTAATGCATGTGTGTAATTTACAGATGGTGATGGAAAGTGGAGACTGGCTGGTGGGTGGAGACCTCCTCGTGCTGGAGAAGATCAAATGGAACGACGGGCTGGACCAGTACCGCCTGACGCCACTCGCTCTCAAGCAGAAGTTCAGAGAAATGAACGCTGGTGAGTGCCCCAGGTCAGCACTGGTGACACGGCTCTTCCCACCCTGCCTGGCACCGGGAGACTTCTGTGATCTGTGATTACTTCCTCTCAGATTCACAGCGCTTGCCAAGTTGCTTCTGTGTGCTCCCAAAATGGGACTGTTTCGGTAGGGTGAGCAGTAAGAGTGGTACGGGGCGTGGTCCAAAAGTGGAATGGGATCTCCTCAGTTAAGGACAGTGCTTGTGGTGGGCTGTGTCCTCAGTGGGCCTCTCCAGGCATGGGGCTGGAAAGCATCAAGCATCCTCCCCAGCAGGTCAGAGCCTCTCTTTCTGCACCTCAGCCATTTAAAGCCCTGAGCTGATGTTCTTGCCCTTCACATGTGGGGGACAGCTCAGGTGCCTTCTCCCAGGTGTCTGTCCTAGCAGCCTGGCTGGTGTCAGACACCCACCCTCACTTTGGGGAGAAAGTGTTGGCCTTCCTGAAGGTGCCCTTGAACTTGGAGAGGGGGCAGGTGGAGGTGTCCAGTGGTGTGTAAAACCGTTGTATGAGAGCTAATAGGACTGAAATGGTCCCGAAGGAAGGACGTGGTCTGACAATAAACGTGGCAGAGCGATGACGAGGCTCCATATGGGCATGAAACGCTCATCTCAGGCACTGCAGACCTTGCTCATGTGAGGACAGGACACACACCTGCCCCACCCGTGGCTTCTGTGGCTGCGCAGAGACGTGGCGCACAACGGAGGCGGCAGCCGGGCGGTGGCGGCGGGGCCCTGACCCTCTCCACCTTTCCCTTGCAGATGCCGTCTTTGCATTTCAGCTGCGCAACCCCGTCCACAACGGGCACGCCCTGCTCATGCAGGACACCCGGCGCCAGCTTTTGGAGAGGGGTTACAAGAACCCCGTGCTTCTCCTGCACCCCCTGGGGGGATGGACCAAAGATGACGATGTCCCGCTGGAGTGGCGGATGAAGCAGCATGCGGCGGTGCTGGAGGAGCAAGTCCTGGACCCCAAGTCGACCATCGTTGCCATCTTCCCCTCTCCCATGCTCTACGCCGGCCCCACGGAGGTAAGGTTGCCATTGGCTGCTCGCTGCGGAGCCTCCTGCTGCTGGCCTGCCCACCCAGCTCCAGAGGGACACAGGCAAGGGGGCTGGTGGCCGTTGTCTCACCGTTACGTCCATCCGTGGTTCACCTGCAGCTTCCTGCGGCAGTTGGCTTCTGGCGCAGCTGGCTCTGTGGGCTTCCACGCTTTCATGAGCTCTGTGGAGAGCTGGGGAGGACAGGACAGTCTGTCCTGGGACAGACTTCACTGCTGTGACCTTTTCCACTGCGGGGCAGAGGAGATCATTTGTCTTCTGCTGGTGGTTTCCCTTCTGTCTCTGCATCGGTGGGATGAAAGCAGTAGACGCTGAAGCTCCCCTGAAGGAGGAAGGAGAGGGATGCATGGGCAGCCTTGACCTGCACGGGGCTGGAGGGCTGGTGGACACTGTCTTTGCATGTTCGAAAAGCAAAGTGTCATCTCCATTTGCTGCCAGTTTGGAACAAGACCAGTTCCCATCCCACGTTTCTCTCAAAATACATGGCCTTAGGAGAACTGGTGTGTTGCATCAGGTCTGAGCAGTGGAAGATGAATCTGGGCAACCTGGTTGCTTTGAGACACTGCAGGAAGGCTGCTGATGCTTTCCTTCTCCTCCTCCTCTTCCTCTTCCTCCTCCTCCTCCTCCTCCTCCTCCTCCCCCTCCCCTGCCCTTCCCTCCCGTGGGTCCGCAGGGTGTCCTGCAGCGC